GTTGCATTTCCCTTCTAAAATATCTGCATGTTCCTTTACAGTCACAGCGTCTTCTCTATTCGGATCCTGCACTTGCAAAGAGACGGCAGTGAAATTGTTCCAAAAGTCAGCGAGTAAGTTTCATGCTCTCTAGGATCTGGGGGTGTTCTCTGTGGAGTCAACTTTCCTGTCTCTTGTTGTGGATTTGGGGTATGGGAAGTATCTAGAGGAAGGTTGAAAGTTCTTGGAAGGAGTAAAAGTTTTTACTCTTTAAGTCCTGGAACTGACCGCGGAGGTGGTGAAGTGCTGCAAGGTACAACGCGAGGTAGTTCTCGGCTTGTTGGTGAAGGTCAATGTGAGTAACCCTGCCCTAGGAGCAGGGCTGGTCTGAGCGCTGCCAATACTCGTTCTGGCACGGAGTTACCTGGAAAGGAGTTGTCTCAGTACCTGGGAATTGGCTGTCCTGAGGACTAGCAAAGTCTTTGAACTTGACAGCGCAAAGGTCATGTCGGTGTCATCTTGTGTGACCCCTAAGCTTAGGGTGGGCCTTTCTGTCCTGCAATAGCCCAACCACCCCAAAAGAGCCTTCCGTGCCCTTGCGGGGAAGCTGGGAAGGTGAGCAGGGTCGGTGCCCGCAGGGTGTCTGAATTACACCCCTGGCTAGAATGGGACAAACCCAGCAGGTCACGTGACTCCCGCCTGCCTGTTCTTCAGGTTATCCCTGTGTGACCTTGCGGGGTCAGAGCGCTGCAAAGACCAGAAGAGTGGGGACCGAATGAAAGAGGCAAACAACATCAACACCTCCCTCCACACGCTGGGTCGCTGCATTGCTGCCCTGCGCCAGAACCAGCAGTCCAAGTGAGTCCCCAGAATGCCACGAGGAGCGTTCGGGCAGGCTGGTTTGCTTTCCCCCGGACTCACTCTTGTCTTTCCCCGCAGACTGAAGCAGACCATGGTTCCCTTCCGGGACAGCAAGCTAACCCGCGTGTTCCAGGGTTTCTTCACCGGACGTGGGCGCTCCTGCATGATTGTCAACATCAACCAGTGTGCATCGACGTACGATGAAACTCTGTATGTTGCCAAGTTCTCAGCCATTGCCAGCCAGGTAAGTAGCACGCACCAGGACCACGACATGGTCAGGACACATCCTGCTGATCTGGGAATGGGCCCCCTTTCCCTCACAAAGCAGGGGGCATGCTTGCAAACCTTTCCGTTTCTCCAGTGGATTGTTACCTTCGTAGTATTTCCAGATTCTGCCGAACTGAAAGGGTTGACAGGTTGCGGAGGGGTGACGTGTTTAAAGATTACACAACTTCCAGGCTTTCCGGACTAGGAATGATGGCCTTTTCCCCTTCAGCTCGTTCAGGCGCCCCCCCCAAAGCTGGGACTTCCCTCCATCCAGTCAATCATCAAAGAGCACAACAGGCGAACCAGCCAGGGTTCAGAGGCAGCCTCAAAGGAGGAAGCGGAATCGGAAGACAGTGAGGATGAAGCAGATGTCTCCATGTATGAGAAGGAGGTGGGTTATGACTTGTTTTACAGCCTTTATGGATCGAGGGGCAAGAATATGACTGTTGGCTTTGGCCTGGGAGGTGTGGGGCTGGAGCTCAGCACTATTCCAAGAGATGACGGAGAACCTCAGGAGGATCTGGAACCCAGGAAACTGGGAATCCATGAGTAAAACATTCCACAGTTGGTCTAAATCTGAAGCCTGGGCTTAATTTGGAAACACTTTGTCATCTGTGGAATAGGGACAGTAGGAGCATGGGTGCAGACTCGCATTCCCTACTCTGCAAGGGAAGTCTAGAGATCAGAAAACATGCGAAACAGATGGCTAATGAGGAAAAATAATCAAACTTCCTAGATACTCAAAGCAGGCAGCTAGAATAGCTGAAGGTCAAGATGGAAGTCCTGTACCTACGGAGACCTGAGTTGTAACGTGTCAGGGTAGCAAAGGCAGGTGCAGCTCGGCAGAGCAGTAGTGGAAGCTGCTCTGGATGGAGACTGCTCCCGCTGGAGTGTAGTGTTTAAGCCATCTCATGGGAGAGGAATCGAGAGGGTTGATTCCTGGCAACTTCTCTTTCCAAGAATCTTAAACCTAGATTGCCCCAGACTAGATATAGGTGGTTTATTCCAGCTCTTAATTCTGTTGTGCAGTGTGGGCAATGGAGTTTGTCCTTCTTGTAGGACTTGCTGCGGGTCGTGGAAGCTGCACGACAACTGCTGGTGCACGAGCGGCAGGAGAAGCTGCAACTAGAAATGCGTCTCCGCGAGGAGATCTGCAATGAGATGCTGGAGCACATGCAGCAGAAGGAGCAATGGTGCAGGTACAGCTCATGCTGTCTCCCTCCCTCTGCTCAGGGTGAGCTACAGTACCAAGAACTGCCAGACCCTGACAGTAGTTGTTGGCTCTCTTTGCAGCCAACATGTGGATGCTCAGAAGGAGCTGCTGGAGGAACTGTATGAAGACAAACTGAATAACCTGAAGGAGTCACTGACGGACTATTACCAGGAGGAGATCCAGGTTTGTTCAGGGCAATGAAATGACATCAGGAAGTTGCAGTGGGTTGGGAAGGGGACTCGGGGTACTAGAGTCCAAGAACCTGGCAAGTTGAAAGTAAAGATTTTGCTTTCTGTGGTGTGTTTTTGTGGTATTTAACAGCTTGATCAACAAATTTGGCATCTGGTCTTACTACTTCATGTAGCTCCCTACGCTTTCCAGTTTTCAGCCCTTAACCTGGAAGCTAATGTGCAGCCACTCTGACTCCTCGATCTGTTCATTCTTCTCTCCCCTCACACTACAAACTTCCCTGAAGTTGCCAACTCTCAAGAAATTCCTTTAGAGGCTGTAAAAAGGGGTTTAGACTCACCAAAACCAGGTTCACTGTTTTCACTTAAAGCACATTAAAATCTAGGTCTGATGTGTCAAGTGTGTGATTGGGAGTCTCCTGGAGGAAAGGTATTGAATGTTTCAGAGAAGCTATGTTAAAATCTTGTTGAATATTTGCTTTCTAAGGAGCGTGATGAGAAGATTGGGGAGCTTCAAGCTGCTCTGCAGGAGGCAAAACAAAAACTGGAGAGCCTGGATACCAAGCAAAAGGACTCGGGGCAAAGCTTGCGTCGATCAAAGCGAGTGGCTGCCTCAAGTGCTCTGCAGCAGGAGCTGGTAGACACCAAAGCCAAACTGCAGCAGTGTCAGATGGAGCTGGATACTGCAATGGCAGGTAAGGCAGTGATGCTGCTCTGGCTCTGCGCTGTGCCCGAGCAGTCCTTGCAGAGGGCTAGGGATACCCTTTTCCATAGGGTACACTGGATTCAGGCATCCTGAAACCACTGTTTGGAGTTGTAGAAGATAGGAGTAGTGTGCTGGATTGATGGACAGGGTTCTACTTCCTTTCCACAGGATGATGAGGGGGCAGATTCTTCCTCCCGTTCCAATTCTAAAGCTGAGAGGGAGAAGCCTGGAATGTTTGTGCATGTCTGCACAAACTCAAAGCTTTTCCAGCTTGACAGTGGCAGCTTGTCTCAGGGAAAGTCCTTGACTCCAGAAAAACTGAAAGCTTAAGATTTCTGTTGCTCACTACTCTTTGTCTGTCCCTAGAGTTGCGCAAGTACCAGAAACTAGTGGAGCCGCCCCCCTCCGCCAAAACCATTACTGTGGATGTGGACAGGAAGCTGGAGGATGGACAGAAGGTAACTCCGTCTCTGTGTTACAGAAAGGAACGCTTGCAGGGCAAAGTGGGTGCCAGTTTAAACACTCTGGAGCTGCTGCCTCTGGTTTTTAACCAAATGCTGAAGTTGAAATGGGTCTGCTGAAAATAAACCTTTAGTAGAGATGCGGAAGGTGTTGGTATGTGTGATGGCAGTGTAGCTCACTCAGAGGGGATCCCGGTACTGCATGTCTGAGTTACCCTGGAGTTGGCTCTGTTTGCAGAGCAATGCTAACGCTGTTTGTTAAACCCCTCTCCTGCAGAACGTCAGATTGCTGCGTTTGGAGTTACGGAAGCTCGGCGAGTCTCTTCAGACTGCAGAGAGGGCGTGCTGCCACAGCACAAGCGCAGGGAAACTTCGAGAAGCCCTCTGCACCTGCGATGACATCCTGGCTCGACAGGTACGGTGTCTGTTGTGTTGTGGGTCACACAGGGTGATTTATGTGTCTGCACTCTGCCAGCATCAGCAGAATAACAGAGGTTCTTGCACCTGCAGATAAAGCCATGTTCCCTAGACACATGCTGTCACGTTAAGGGAGCTACACTGCTGAGTTTTTTGGTGGCTGAGTCAGACCGCATATTTAACCCTCCAAAGGGGACCCAAATTGCTTCTGTTCACTTAACTGACAGCTTGCACTTTAAGTAGGAGAATTTGGAATTCTCACTTCCTTATCCACTTCGCTCTATCATGGTTGCTATGGCAGCAGGATGGATTCAGCATTTTCCTAGCCGTGCCGTTCCCATTTTGTTACGGAACTGCAGCACGGTTGACTGTAGAAGCTTTTGTGCATGGACTTATTTAGCACACCCGTTAGAAAATTTTGGCAAAGGCAGTTTATCTCCCTCAGTTCATTGTCACCAGCGAGTTAGTCTCTCAAAACACTGCCTTCCCTTCTGCAGGACCAAACGCTGGCAGAACTGCAGAACAACATGATGCTGGTGAAACTCGACCTGCGGAAGAAAGCGGCTTGTATCGCTGAACAGTACCACACGGTGCAGAAGCTTCAGGCTCCTCCGACATCTACCCTGAAGAAACGGTTCTGTGCCAACCGGGAAAACCTACAACCTAATCAGCCTCCGGGTAAAAAGCCCTTCCTCCAGCACCTTCTGTCGCGTTCAGCTACCCGTCCTGTTGCTGGCAGAGGGTGGCAACTTCGTTCAGTTGCTCTGTGACTCTTCCCAAAGAGACCCCTGCCCCGCTGTTACTGGTACAGGTGTCAAATCCAATGTAATAGCATTTATTTTTCTTTGTGTGCTTGTTTATTGTTATTGTAGCCTCTTAAGACCTTTATGTAAACATTTCTTGATATGTATGGTTAAACTTTTAATACCAAAGTGGACAAAATGACCTTTTATAATTTAAACACTACAACGAGGACTTCAACTATAATGCAGATGATGATTGAAGTTGTTTAACAAACCAACATGTAAAAAGTGACTTCTTGTCTTTAGGTATGTTGGCACATAATTTGAAAATAAGTTCATAAGATCCTCCTTGAAAGGTATTTTCCCTTCCTTGTATTATAATCCTTTATTAACGTATACACGTTCTAGTTCAGGGCTGTTTTCTCGGATCTTGGCTTGCAATTCTGGCTCCAAGTGTGTTACAGACATAGAACTAAGCAAAAGAAACAGGAAAATGGTTACATATGAGCACTTCAATGTAAAATAAGATGGATGAGGCATCTGGTTAAACTTCCTGGATTGTGAGAAGAGTTTTCAGATCCTTTTCTAACTTGTTATGAAGGAAATTACACTCACAGACCGGGGCAAAGGAATCTCTGCTTAGAAGGCAGTAAGATAGTCTACAGAGTCAAGAAGTGGCTGTTGCTACTGCCGCAAGGGTAGGAATCTACTTGGTTGCTTGAGGTTGTTGCTGGCAATAGACTTACCTTCCTAAAGGTGTTTTTAGTTAAATAGGCAAATACATTCTATTTAATTATGGCCTGATTTTCATCAGCTGAATAAAAGGTTTATTTTTATAAGGGTCATCTCACAGCCAAGGGAATTGAGCTGCCAGGCCATTTAAACAGCTGCAATGTCTTAAATACACCTTAAGGCGTGATGCTCTCTGAAAGGGAGAGCCCTGGTGAAAATGAGGCACTGCACCACACCTGCCATGCTAGTCCACCTGGTCAGCTCCAGGTACCTAGTGCCACTGCTCTGCGCCAGGCAGGGAACAGATGGTGTCAGGCTGCTCTGGCCTACTCAACTGCATCAGGTGGCAACGAGAGATTGTCTTCTGGAAGTCAAAATATTAGGTAAGTAAAGTAGCTTTTAACAGATTCAGCTCCAGCTTGCATCGTTTAAGCTATGTTTGGCAGCTTGTCAAGTTTAGACAACCACTAACGGTATGAGAGGGACGGCTGGGTTGGGCGTATGACCCTGCGCGTGCTCCATACTGCAAACTGCGCTGACTTTATTGGTAGGTAACCCGCCCAGGTTTCATCGTGACTTCAGCTACGACGTTTCCATGACAGTTTTCAGGACCGAGCTATGTGTGTATCGATGACAGATTCCTTCTGGAAAAACGTTAAGCTACAAGCAAGTACATGTAGTCATAGTGCTGTTCTGTATAAGTACCGCTTCTAGCTGAAAATGAGACGGGCTTTGACTGTATTTAAGGAAGCCATAACCTTCCTGGACATGAATGTATTGTTTGGACCACATTAACCACCTTTTGTATGAATCGCTCCAGTGATCCCTGCCTGTATTTACCATGCTCACTCTTCTCAGCCTGGGTTAAACTGCCCCTCAAACCTCTTGTTCGCTATCCCTAGGGAGCTGGATCTCGGGCTGCTGGGAGTCTGTCAAAGGAGCCCAATTCAACTATTGTGCAACACGTTAAATGACAGAGTTGTTACTTTGCTGAATACTCTCCTTTTCATCGCCCTTGTTACGTGGGAGCTAAGACGGTGCATGCTCGCGGAGGCAACGCGCTCTCGTTCCTGTCTTTTCGCGGTACCCTGCACGCGTCTTGGAGCGTAACGGGAAGGAGTAACGTAACGGGAATACGTACCTTTTCTGAGGAAACAGTGCGCAGCACAGGGGTGTTGCAAACACAAGGCTAGAGGAGACAAAAACAGATTTACGATGTTTAGGGTGCTAAAAGAGAATTCAAAGCCCTTAGGGCCTGGCCTTCTAGGGAAAAAGCTTTTTTTTTTGTATACAGTGAGGCAAAGTTCCATGGAGCGCTGTGTAACCTTCATTTCTCACTGCATTACACCTTACCCAATCATTTACCCACTACTAGTACCTAGTACTAAATCCATCAATACCACGTGTACAAACACGTAGAAAACCACCACTCGATGCCCTGTCAGTGTTTTGCACTGGTGTGCGTGACGACACAACATGCTCAACAACAGCAAATGAAATCCTCCAGCAACCAGGTGTTTCAGCAATTCATCAGCCTACAGAATCAGATTCCCGTTGTGTTTATGGAGGTAGCAGCCAAAGCATCTTTTCTAATCGAGCTGATACAGGCCTTTTTTTTTTTTTCCACTCCCTTCCTCCCTCTGCTTTTCCTGGCAGCTTCATCATTACTAATGGCTTTTTATTTAATAGGGTAGTATCGGTTACAGATGTGGAAGTGAAATAACTGCTGCAGCCTCAGTAACTCCTCAACTTCTTTTCTTTAAACAAAGTGTGAATATTGCTGCTACTTTCTCCAAAAAAACCTACAAGCATCTCTGAAAATAGCAGACACAACCCAAAGAACTGACTTACCAGAAGCCAACTAATCCAACTTGAATGGGAGCGCTCATCCAAGGGAATCTCTGTTAAAAACAAACCGCAGGCAGTCAGAATGGTACCTTTTCTCCCCCCCTTCCTGAAACTCACATTGTAAGACACAGAGTGGGACATGATGAAGGCAAAACAATTGCCAGCACACCTTAGAGTTGAACCCAATTTGAGAGCCCAATCCCTCTGAGACACAGGAAGAGAATCCCCAGTGGGTGCTATCAACGTGCACGGCTACCCTGAGGAAGCGCCCTCGGGAGGTGGGTGATGCTTTTACTTATGCCTCGATCCTGAGCACGGTGGCTGTTTCTCCGAGTCACACAAGCCCATGGCAGCTAGCCACACACGGCCAAAGTTTGGCACGGTGCTGTCCCACCTCCTGAGGGCACAGCGAGCTTTCCCCGGGTGTCCCCGAGAAGAGCTGGGTCCGGTTACAGCTCTTGTCTCTTCAGGACATCAAACAGGTTTAATTTACAACTTTGTGAGCAACAGCAGTCACCAACCATAAATAAAGGAGGTGTCAAGAAATACGTAAGTGCCTCTCTTAGCCCTTTCTCCTGGTTTATGATGTGCCTTGATGCGCAGGGTCTCGCCCCTGTAGCACCGTTCGGTACGCTCCAGTTCTGCAAGAGTTCACCTTTTATTAAAGCAAAAAAAAAGGGGCGGAAGAATTAGGGAACCGAGGCTGAAAAAGCAACATAAGCCCTGGAGACATTTTCAGTACATTCCTCATTACTGTAACGTTTGCAGAACTTGAACACATTCCCGGAAATATGATAGTTTTTTTGGAGACCTCTAAAAGACTTAGGAATCCACTCCCCCCTGATGTTAGTTGGAGTTAATTACTAATGACACAGAACCAGAAGCGTTTAAACGGCAGAGCCTTCTGCTGCCACACTAACATCAGTGATGCCAGTAAGCAGGATGGACACCACTGCTACGGGAACAGGAAGTTGAGTTTTAAAACAAAACAGCTCACAGGTTTAAAAAAAACCCCAAAACATGTGTTACAGTGGATGAAGTTGTCAACAATGGTGATGGTTGGTGCTTTTTTTTCTGTAAGAAGCATTTCTCAAGATGCAAAAGTTAGAAGGGAGACTGGTGACCAAAAGACGGGCGCTATTTGAGAGCAGAAATAGAAAAAAGAAGTTCAGAAAGCTCGGTAGGACAAAGCTTGGTGCTGAGGAAGGTCACAGCAGCGTAAGTGGCACAGAAAACAAGCCTGTGTGGATTAAACTTTCTCCAGAGCTGGAGGGAGATCAGTACAGCTTCTACATGAGTAGAAGATTGCTTCTTTTCTCTTTTTTTTCCCAGAGTCAATCTGTAATCCAGAAATGAGTGCAGGAAGAACCGTGCAATTCAGCAATAACCTGCAACAATAGATAACAAATGGAAAACGACAGCAATTGCAAGCAGGATAAGGAGTGAACGAAGCTCTCCTCTGCTGTTCCGGCATTCCACTGACATTCACGCACCTTCATGGGACTCTCAGCCGAGATAAATTCACTCAAAAATGCTTTACATTTTATAAACTGGGTGAGTTCACAACAAGAGATGGTGGAACTGACAGTGGAAGGGATGCAGGCCTGTGGCACTGGTACATATCCCACAGTATTTGGGAACACAAACTCTGTACTGCAAATGACTTTATCCTCTAAGGAGAATTAAGGGGAGGGATGCTGAGCACTGCAGTGTGCGTGTGGGACCCGAGGTACAGATCAGAAAAGCCCCAAATACGGTTTCATAACAGAAGAGAGTGTTGGAGGGTGTCATGAGACCTACAGATGTTTTCATGCCTTTACCAGTTGGTCATTAATCAGAGAGGGAGGTGTCTACTGGTACAGACAACACAAACCACATCTGTTCAGGTGGTGGAACTTTCACAGCCTTTGCTTTTCAAGAATGTTACCAGGCTGCACTAATCAAGAAAGGTGATGAGATGGACCTCCAACACCGGGAGGTCAACAGCAAGAACGGGAGTTGCCCAGGGAACCACATATAACAACAAAGCAAAACTCAAACGCAGGCTGTAATCCCTACAAAGAGAGAAAATGGAAGGTACCAGAAGTTACTGTGTTAGAGAACTATCATTTAACTCTGGAAGAAGGCAGCCCCGATGGATTAGGACTTAACTTCCAGATGTCTTTATGGCATCTTTGGTGGTTAGCGCAAGACAGAAAATAGAGAAATTACAATTAAGCAAACAAAAGCCATATGGAGAATTGGATTTTTTCTAACGGCTTCCTTTCATTGTTGGATCTCAGACTCTGCCAGCTCTCCCAGGCTAGCCAAGCTTGTTTTCAAAAAAATGAGTTAATGAAACGGCAGTTAAATTGGGAATGCACAGAGGACTCTGAGGCATTAGACATTCGAGAACCACGCCTAAGAAAAGGGTCTCTGTTCTAGTTCTGTAACAGTTTTCAATGTGCATTTTAGTTGCAGCCTAAGAGACCCCAAGGAGCTTGTTTTAAGGATACAGGAGGAAATCCCTGGAATCAACTTGAATGTTAATATTGTACATAGAACAAGAGAGAAACAGCAGCTGAAGCTGTAAGAGTAGCAATATAAATTACATCTTCAGCATCCACTGGAATTTTCAGAAATTTCTATGCAAAAAACAACTTCTTTGCTTAGGAGAAAGGTTACCTGGAACTAAAATAAATCTGCAAACGCTGTGCCTCAGGGCGAGGGTGTTTATGGATCCTCCTGCTGCAGCAGATAAAATAGCCTGGTTCTGCCCAGAGCTAGTCACGTGTATGTCGGCAGGGATAGTGAACGGGGATTATACAGCCCAGACCAGAATCACGACACTGCACAATCCCACAGAAGCAGCCAAAGCCACTGCTGAAACCCATAGCAAAAGCACACATACGTGAAAAAGTGGTTTTTCAAGTCAAAAATTAGACTCTTTAAAAATCAGTAGATATACGCTCGTGTTCTAAAAACATTGAGTCATTTTCTAGCAGTAACTTTTGGGAATACTGTTAATTCATACTAATGTTACCACCAAAATGCCCTTGTGCAAAGCAACGTCAGAATATGGTGCTGTATAACTTACTTCTTCAAGTATCAGAGGGGACAGCCTGCTATCACCCAGACCAGCATTCCACAAGCATTTCTTTCTTCCTATCTTACTGCAGAAGATAATTCTAGTTTCTTCATTATTTCACAACCATTTGACTATTTTCTGGCCTTGTGTATTGCTTAATAGGCTTTGGCAAGCGTACAAGAGTTACTTCGAGTGATGGTGCCCAAAGCAGAGGCGAAGGGAAGTGAGTTAGTAAAGCATCGTGTGGATGGCGTCGGAGTGCTGCAAATGGGATGGTGCTTCTGGAACCTCAGGAGAACATGCAGAAGCTGCTTGTTAAAAATGCAGCTCAGTCCTTAATGGTTTTAATACTAATCTCTACGACGTGTTACCACTGACTACCTGCAATGCAGTGTTTCGCCTGAACTCACAGTCTTTGAGGCTGAGGGGGAGGAACAGGTGAGCATAAACGGTCATGATGGTACCAAAGACCACTGAGTAGTCACTGGAGAAATCGCTCATTTTGGCTGATCTGAAAAATTCACAACACCCTTATATGGATTATACCACACAAAACCAACAGATATTTGTCTGCAAACCCTGAGAATTGCGGCAACTTCTTCACCAATCGGTGTTTGCTGGCTGGGTCGATAGCGTTTGTGACATTTCTCCGACATCAAGTACATACAGCATAATCTCTGCTCTCAATTCTTAAGTGGAGTTTAAAAATTTATTTTATTTAAACAAGAGTTGATGTTCTGGGTAATACATTCTCTGCTCTGAATTTTTAAGTGGAGTTTTTAAATTTATTTTATTTAAACAAGGGTTGGCGTTCTGGGTACTACATTCTCAAGAACCTAACAGTAACACAAGCTGCTTAAAGCTCTGCTGCAAACAGGGTGCGGGTCAGAAGAAATCAGCAACTGAACCGGCCACATCACTACAGGGCTCTTGACAGTGCAGCCAAGCAGGGTATGTGGGTGCGCTGCAGTCTCCCCGCCTTCAGGGGCTACGAGCAGCACACGCTGACTTTCACTCCAGAACTGAAACACATTTCCTGTTTTAACGTTCTGAGCAATCGTGTTTTCTGTTAACAAGGGTGGGAGGGAAAGCCAAGTGCTTCAGGAAAGGCAGTTTTTAAAACGGGAAGACACTTGGGACCTCTTCCCAGCGCCTCATTATGTATCTGAAGCACTTTCAAAGGGCAATCTAACTGGGCAATCTAACTCTGCACAAGAAAGCCGAAGGGCAGAAATAGTAAGAAATATCATTTAAATACTTTAGAAAGCTTTATCTTAGGCAAACAAAACCAGGCGACTTCCCCTGCTTGTCTACTCCCAGTCCACAGCCAAACCACTTTTCCAAGGGAGGGTCTGGAAAGTCAGACCACGCTTTCTTTTCCTAACTTTTTGTAACAGGAAGGAGACTATTATTCCCACCTTGGTTTCACAGGCCAAGACTTTGCCTGGAGCTACACAAGCAGGTAACTCAGTGGTATCAGCTGGTGAGGATGAACCTCCTTTACTGGTAAAGTACAGAGTTCCTCATCTGAATGTTGTATCAGCTGGTGAGGATGAACTTCCTTTACTGGTAAAGAAGTACAGAGTTCCTCATCTGAATGTTGTTTCTCTTGTGTTAGACAACCCTATAATTAATGTCATTATTTTTCTTTACCCTCTTAGGCACACACAGTGCGTAATGCTGATGTAGTTTATATATTTACTAACACCAGGTGTGTGACTTCACACTACACTGACATAAACAGAATATAGGGAATACCTAATCTTTGATGAAGCATGCCCATTCCACGCCTACCCTGCACTGGCTCATCCAGCAAATTTTAATGGGTCATTTTCAAAAGACATTTTCATCATCATCATTGTTTCCAAGGCCAAATTGCTACTACAGCAGCTAAGCAAAGCCTCCTTATTGATAGCCTGAGGAAAAAGCATCATGAAATTGTAAAATATTTTTCTAATAAACAGTATTCCGAGTCTTGGTACAAGGAAGGTTTATTTACCAGGAGGAGCTCTGCATTTGAAGAATAATTATAAAACCAACAACAAACTCCATATTTGCTTAATGTTATTTTGCACTGTGATAAAAAGAACCAAGCTATCTCTAAGAAAGGCATAAGGAAAGCAACAGCTTTAAGCAAGCTCTACAGTGATGTCCTCCCAGAGTGGAGGCACCTTTGGGAGGCAAATACGAGGACTCAGAAAGTATCTGAAATTCATGAAAATATGAACTTAGGATATGAAGTACACGTGCACAGATTATCTAAGACTAACCTTTAAAAAGGCTCTCTTCTCCAATGTATTCATTATAAAGGGAGGAATCGCTGAAAATGAGAAAACCAGAAAGCATTAACCTTGGAGAAAAAGGCACTTGGTGTTCATTTTCTGTTCAGATGAACTAATGCCGTAACACAATTTTCACAGCCTGATGTCATTAACTGTGCTTTTATTTCACATTACCAAGGCCCTGGATCGGTATTTACAGTGGTAAATTCTCCCAAAAAGCAAAACTTCTAATTTCACACATAACTAAAACCTGAGCTCAGTAACTTGGCGCTGGTCAAAACCCTTTTTCACTAAACTAATTCCACTCAGGCAGAATTTGCTGCCATTCCCTTGTTACCTGTACCTTTTCTGCGAAAACAAATCCACGCTGTGGATGTTTTCACAGTGGGAAACATACAATTCTTTGTGGAACTTCTTAACGGAAATGTAAGTACTGCCTGCAGAGCTGTGAGGTAACTTCTTTGCCTCTGAGGAAAACCACTGATACAGAATCTAAGCACTCCCTCACCTTAGGAACCGATCATCAGGGAACGCATGGGACTGCAGTTATTCTTACCCATGCCAGGAGCAGCCATAAGAATCCTTGAAATAACCACCTGGGTAATTGCCTGCTGAGCTGCTTTTGTGGATTCACCCAGTCTGTTCCCGTTCTCATCCGTGACAGGGATTCCAAACTTGAGTTCCCTGTTCAATAAGGTGTAAAAATAAAAGCAGTGACTGACATGCATTTATTCACCTTTTTTGTCCCCTTATCTTTGTCCCCTTAAAGTTGTCAATTGTGGGAATTATGAGGTTTATTTTATTTTCCAACTTAGCCTGTTTGGAACATTCTTCTGCATAAGAATTTCAGAAGTCAAAGAAAGATCTGGGGAAAACCATGCTGAAAAGTAAATCACTGAGTATTTCTAACTGCAATCTGCCACTTGAGCCTGGTCACAGGCATTCCAAGGGGGAAGGAATGAGATGTGTTAATTCTGTAGTCCACAGAAGGGAGAGGTTCCTTCAAAAAGCAATTCAGAAAAGTGGAATTTTCTGGACTGTCCTGAAAGTGTTCTGTCCTTTCTGACGGACAACACAAGGAATGCAGGAAGATTAAGTTTCACTGAACTGAAACAGAAGTCTTTGTGAAAATTCCCCTCTGGCATTCTAGTCCGAGTTTTCATTTCAACCACTAAGAACATATTGGAGGGTATAAACCAAACGATATTTTTGTGACTGTATTATTCTCTGTGAGGTCTTCAGCTCAAGTGCAAGGTGCAGTGGTAACTCACGTACTGGGGGCGAACTCGGGGGGTGAGAAGCAGACAGAAGGGCAGATATACCGAGGACTGCCTTGATTCTTCTCATCTTTTATAAGAGAGAAAATACTACCATGGATTGAATTTCATTGTAAATACAAACTTTAAATATTCCCTTTTCTGCCCATAACCTTGTATCTGTAAGAGGATGCTTTTAATTTGTTTTTCCTCACTTCTATGCTTAGTCCTAGTCAAAGCAGAATACATATGAAATCTTGTTTCTGAGAAACTGCGTATTTTTGTAACCTCAGATGATTAAACGGAACTGCAGAGCCTGACTTCCGTGACTAACTTCTGCGTGTGGGATTTGAAGCACCATTTTGGAAGTGACTGTATTTTTCCAAAGTGGAGTTTGTATGTAAAGGGTCCAAGCAATCAAGTTTTGAAGGACTGCTACTTGGTTTCTGAGATCTAAGACTGAAGAACTCTATGGATATTTATCCAAAGAGAATGAGGATGTTCTGTTTTATACCTCCCACAATCAATTAAAAGATCATGCATGAGGTTTTTGCAAGGTCTGAAACAAGCTGTATTTAGTAACTTGCTGATTTAAAACTCAATGACATCCTCCTTTACAATGAGTGATCTTTGTTCTCTTTCCTACCTTTGTCTCATCAGTGGAATATTAATGCAGTTTGCAGCAGCAACAGCAGCAAAAGGAACAAACCGTCCTATAAGAGGTGAGACATGCTGTAAAAACAGAGAGGAAAAATGAAGAAAGAAAAAGGGGAAAAAAAAGATTACATAATCACTTTCTTTCCTCAAGGTCATATTAAGATGCTACATGTGCTAATGATAGACCAGACTTATTCCTTTAAATTAAAATGCAGTGAAAACTCACTAGTTTGGTAGAGGTAAAAAAACAAACAAACAAAGACAGAATTCATAAATAGTTCTCTCAGAGTGAGCAGTGGCAGGAGACTGGCAAAAAACTATCTTAATTTAGTAGCATCACTGCCGAGCAGTGGCAGCTTCCGAGCGTGCCTGTCAGACCAACAGCAACACTAAACAAACCCTAACTTCAGTGTCTCTGCTGGCAAGGTCAGAGCCAGCAACATCCATACCAGCTGCTCTGCACCTCGGGGCACTGACGATGGAGGCTGTTCATCTCATCAATGCCTTGCAAAATCTGAATTACTCTGCTTAGAACGGTGTCTCATATTAACCTGCCAACGCTACGCCGCTCCCAGCACATTAAAGCCTAACCAGAGGGCTACGAAATAGATTGTTGCTTTTTTTTTTTTTTGTAAAAGACCTTTTTCTTGATTATGTTTTGCGCTTATTTAAAGAATTTGTGTTTTCTGCACCAAAGAGCAGCATCTCCTTGCAAGCTCTTCAGCCAGTCTAGAGTAGGCGTCCACGCTTGCAGAAGTGATACTGCACCTTAAAAAAACCCACCTGTACAGTTTCTGGGATAATGAGTCCACATTGTTGTAATTACACATTCACTCCAATTAACTTTCAAAAGCTATTAGATACTTTGACATGTAAAAAAACTGAAAAAAGGCGCTTAGATAGAGTTTGTATTAACAAAACACAAGGATGTTTGATAAGGAGGATAGACTGTTTGCAACACACAGAAAACCATCTACACAGGGCAAAAACAAGGTTGGGATCTAAAGAAGGGAGCTGCCAATGGCCATTACAACTCCATACTGGGAGTCGTGTGTAACATGGCACAGATACAGAGGAGAAACGAGCTGTTAGCATCTCATACCACACTGCAGTCTAGTTAAGAATGGAAGAACCAGCAGCAATACCTTTGTCAGCGCATTAAGTCCTAAAGCTGTTGCAACAGCACCCGTGGTGGCAGAAACATAGGCTGTTCCCAGCTGGCTGAAACAAAAATAAAAGTGTTTGCACATGCAAAACAACTGCATTTATGTCACTTAGGAAAACGATTACTTTTCACACATCTAGTTCTCGCCTCCAGCATTCTCAGACTTCTCATCTGTGCATATCAAATTCATATTAAACATAGATGAAAAAACATATCCCTCTATCACCTCAAACTTTAAAGCCCAACCATGTTCTGGTACATCAGAGAACAATTTATAAACAAATCATTAGTGTTTGGTTCAGTGCCTGACCTGACAGTAATTGGGGCATCACCGCTCCTGTTGGTGTAATTTACTATAGCATTGAAGGACTGGTTAATCCACTGCCAGAAAACCACTGCTGGTGTCGTTCTTGAAAAGAGAAACAATTATCATTATTAAAAATACAGTTGGATCAGCAGCACAGAAAAATGACAGCAAACCAAGAAAACCAAGCTCAAGCAGTAATCACGCAGAGGTTCTTGTTTATCTGAATGAAACAATACAGTCAATGAGATACTGTCTCAGTAATGAAAGCACAAGCTACTTCTAAGGACAGGATTTAAAAGCGTTGTCATTAAATAGCAAGGTTCACTTGGGACAGAGGTTTGTTGTAGTAACAAATACATTATAGCAAACCTTTCTATCAAAAACACACAGAGAAATATGAAACTCCCTGATTTCTTGAATACTTTTCCAGGGCTATTATTCCTTTACAGTCTGCTACTTCTCTCTGGAAGCTCTGTACGTGACTGAGAGGTGGATTTTAGGAGATGGGGTTTATCTTCTCAGTCTTGAAAAGGCTAATATGATGCTGTTGTTTTAATAAATCTCTGTGACACCAAGTCAGTCACTTACAGAACCAGATAGAGAGATGCTTGACTGCACAATGAAAAACTGTCTTCATGAAAATATCTGCATGTTTAAGAAGTACAGATAAAGCACAGAAAGGAATTTGGTTCAGTACAGCATGAAGCAGCTGACCAGTCATCAAAAGAAGAAAAAAACCAAAGAGCTCCAAGGAATCCTCAAATTATATCAGTGCCAGTATGCAGACGCCTTAGGACAAAAAGGTGGTAACTTGCAAGCACGGGCAGGGGGGCAGTGAAAAACCTATTTTCTGTACAAGTCACAGAGTCCCCATTTAACAAGCTAAAGCGGTCCCTGTGAAACTGCAGATACAATGATTTTACGGGTGGTGATGCTGCTAAGTAACAAACGTGATGGTCAGTTTGTTTCACGATGAGCGGGGCTGTCTTGTGGAGGGGTAAATGCTTGTGCTCTTGAACCAGCAGTATACTTAAACAACGGGACAAACTTATGAAAAAGAAATCCACTAAGGACCTGTGGAGCAGGAAGTTCCTGATCCACAAATAGTTGGAGGCTAGGAGAGTATACCAGGGGAAAAGAGTGTGTATCCAGACCACAAACTCTACCCCCAGTGAAGAAGCCACTGAAGACTGTGCTCTGCCAGAATTTCAGTCAGGCCACCAAAAATAACAGTTGCTAATGAAAACTGTTTCCTGACTGTTAAAATACCTTTTCATAGGACTGTAAAGGTTATACTTAATTAGTAAATACACAGGCAGTAATGGTAACAGGAGTGTGGTTGTCATCAGAGGGCTGATACGGATATTAAGAGTGCTAAAGAAAAAGCTGTAGTTGTGCCAATTATCTGTAATGGGTGGGAAAGCAAAGAGGAGATGCTAGAGTAGAAGGGGGGTGTGTGTGTATCATGTGACTTAGGTTCTGAAATGGGAAGACAAGTTATTTCTTTAAATTGCAAAAATTTGAAAGATTCAGGAGATTTGAAAGTGCATTCTCATCCCCTCTGGTTTCTAGCATCCAAATGAGATGCCAAAGTAACAGTAGCTGCATTTTTTCCAACACTACTGCTGGTCTTCCTCCTTTCTCTTTCCTAACTCATCTTTTCCTGTTTCCTTGCTACTGCTATGTAGAGGATGTTAGCCTCGCCATGAAGTTCAGGCATGACTCACACTGCCTTACTGCACGCCCAAGAGCCCTGGTAGATGTCACAAGGAATTTGCTTGTGTGAGTCAAAGATTTGTAAAATCTCAGCATCAAAACCGCTGTTGTTATTTCCTCTGAACCTCCCACCAGTTGTGCCTAAGAAAGCTCCGTGTCACAGAAATATTTCTTGGATGGAGCCCACTAACGGATGATACTGGCTGCTGCTGTGGGCTTCCCTGTACCGGTGATTCAGGAACTACTGAGGAAATGGAAGGATCAAACTGGATCTGGAGAAACTTGATGACTGATGGACTGAAGAATAATGAGTACTCACTTGGCAGACAAAATATCCTACATGCCAGATCTGTAAGGTCAGAAATCCCAGGTATCTCCTCCTCTTTGTCCTCCACACAACTCTCCTACAAGGATGGCATTTTGGAACATTCAGCTTCTCCAGTTTGAGGAAGAGTGGGATGGGGAAGGAGGGGGGCTAAGGGCTTATCTCACAACTACTTCTAAAGGAAACCATTAATCAGTGTGAGGGAATGCAGAGAGAGAAGTGAGAAGGAAGCAAATTCTTACATTTTAAAATATTTATTATAAAAATTCTAAAATGCTCTTTTGACAGTAACACTGATTTTCATTTATCTAATTTGCAGGTAAATGTTTTATGTGTTACACTGCCATCACTTACCTATAAAAGGTCATCATACAACCTGTGATAGTCATGTTCATGGGTACCTGAGCTGACATTCGGCCAATCAAGACCATCTTTTCACCAGTGTCTGGGTGAAAGGCTGAATCATAGATGTATTTTGCTCTCCACAAGTCATCTTCTGTCAAGCCAGGTGCTACAATACCTTGCCTTAGGACAAAACCAAAAAACAAAACCAAACACAACAGCAAAAAGCACAGCTGTTATAAAATGCTGCAACCCTCAGTGACAAATTCAGAAGCAGAGGATTTTGGGATATTCATACTAAGTTAATCTAGCCTCATAATTGGCTTGTAGAATTCAGCTTATAAATGGACTGGTGAAATCAAAAGAATCAAAACCCCCAGCCGTGGTTATGTTGGCTGAGTTGCTATATCCAGCACCAGATTTCTATTTACCCAAACCTGTAATCAATTTAGAGCTAAAACATAGAGCTGAAACCTCCGGAGTCATTAGCGTGAGACTTCGAACATTTTCTTTGCAGGTATTTAAGAGCCTACTTGCTTCAAACAATACAACACATAAGAACAAGTTTTTAACTCTGTTGTCATATTAGCCATTTTCAGAATTAGATACTTCTGTATTTCAGAATGCTTAATAGGGGCTCTCAGATGACATAATCTCCCCATACATCAGCAAATTTGTTTGTTAAAAACCAAAGTGTTTCAAGCTTTGAAATAAGAAGAAAGAGTGGTGCAATGAATGCAGTGATTTAAATACTTCCTCTTAAATATATAACCACGTACTTATCATTGATGTGGACTTTTTTGGACCAGCAGTAAAAGTGACCAATGCCATACCTGTAATCATGAACAATTCTTCTTGCATTTTCCAGCTGGGCATCAGATAACAAAATATTCCGGGGGTCTGTTACAGTAAAGAAGTGACTGGCTCGTCCAATGAAAGTGCTTTGATCCCATCGAGGCTCCTTGATATTAATATTTAAGGGTATATCTGCCGACATCTTCAAAAACTCTGTGAAGAAAACATGCAAATCTGCAAGTCAGAATTCAATTATTTTCATAATGTGCCTATAACCTGCAAGATGAAAAGTGGTTATGCTTAGAGCAGAAAAAAACCCAGAGAACAAACACCAAATATCTTATATTTAAAAGCTATTTGCAGCATTTTACCTGTGAGGGAGGGATCCACCACTGCATAGAATTAGCTGCCAAGTAATTGTTTCTATGATTAAAATGAACAATGATAAATTTAAATGTCTTTAATATTGGATCCAACCTAACGAATACACTTTCTGGCTCTTTCACTACGTCATTTTTCCATAGTGGCCTTCGGTTTCTCTTTGATGCACGAGACCTCAGGAAAAACATACTGTTCCAAAAGTCTGCTCACAGAATCATAGAATCACAGGATGGTTTGGGTTGGAAGGGACCTTAAAGACCATCTAGTGCCACCCCCCCTGCCATGGGCAGGGACACCTTCCACTAGACCAGGTTGCTCAAAGCCACATCCAGGCTGGCCTTGGACACTTCCAGGGATGGGGCATCCACAGCTTCTCTGGGCAACCTGTTCCCGTGCCTCACCACTCTCTCTGTGAAGAATTTCTTCCTGATCCCTAATCTAAACCTCCCTGTTTTCAATTTGTACCCGTTACCCCTTGTCCTATCACTACCGGCTCTTGTAAAAAGTCCTCTCCCAGTACCCTTGTAGGCCCCCTTCAGATACTGGAAAGCTGCAATGAGGCCTCCTCGGAGCCTGCTCTGCTCCAGGCTGAACAAGCCCAATTCTTGCAGCCTTTCGTCATAGGAGAGGGGCTCCAGCCCTCTGATCATCTTCGTGGCCTCCTCTGGACTCGCTCCAAGTGGTCAATATCCTTCTGATATTGAGGATATTGAAATATCATATATTAAAACATGCAGTCACGAACTCAGTAAGCATAAAGCAAGTACAGAAGGAGCACTGCTGCTCCAACTTGCAGTAAATACAGCCGTGATTCAACCACCCTCTGATCTTAAAGCTTCACCATCAAGTTAGGGACAGTCCTACAGCTTCCCAAGACACCACGAGGCTAACGAACGCGGTACAGTAGGGGAAACTAACCTTTTCCCCCTCCTTCCACTTCCCTCACTGTTAAGTTCATTCCTGTACAGCAACTTTTATTAAGGTCTTTGCTGTGTGCTGTGATAGGATTTCATACAGTGAAACAGCACATCTGTCAAACTTCAAGAAAATAAGGTGCTGCAGCAATGTATCGTTCACTAAGCTAACCATGAAGCACGATGGCATTTCTATCAGAATTAGAAATAACTGACATTGGACCAGAAAAAGTAACACTAGTTGGCTCAAGTCACAAACGACAGCAGAACCTAGACCTCCCGACCTGTGCTCTAAGTACTGCGGATACGGCAAGACGCAAGTTACTACTTCCCAATGTAAACTGCGGGAGATGGAAAGCTCTGGGTAAGAAGCACAGAATTCATCCCTCACTCCCAGCGGAACATTCTTGTCTCTCTATTCCACATTCCTGTGTGCTGTAAGTACTTCCACAGTTGTGACACGACACGGGAGACCCCTGCGGATTAGCAGGATTATTTTCATGTGATACAACTTCTGACCAGACCTGTCACGGAATGAACACAGATCATGGAAATGCAAAAAGACTCAGGACAGATCTGGAGAACCGAGCTCTCCTGTAGAGCATCTCACCAGCAGATACTCCATAGGTTTCTTTTCCCTTCCTTAGTACTATACCATGAAAGCCACCCTCCTGTGAACAGTGACATACTGGGAAAAAACAGACGATCTTTGCGTGTAAAATGGGAACTGCTGGTTTTGCAAAGCTGTGCCCTGTAAAAGCAGGGTGAACTCATTTATTCAGAAGTTCTTTTCCACTGAAGAAAAAATAAAATCTGTACATTAGGGCTGGTTCCATGAACGCTTGCATACTGGTATATTCTTTGTAGGAAAGTCCAAGTTTAAATATTTTTATAATTAAATTATCAGTTTCACTAAGAAAGATTAAAAACCGCTTAGGATAGCTTATGTTAAGCTGTTTAAAGCTGTCTGATGAACGCTTGATAAAGCAGTACACAAACAATGCCTTTTCTTTCTTTTCACTCTGATTAGCATATATACTACTGGCTTGTCTGTGAATTGTTTTTATAAACTTATGTATAAGTATACTTATACTCTGTCCATAAAAAACTAGTCCTTTAGTAATCAGGAATCTAACCAATGAGGCTCTGCCTTCACTGCAGATGGTTCAGTTCAGATCACTTCATTTCATTTAGCCTGGGTTGGCAAAGGTGGATCTACAGAAAATAGATGATTTCCCACTTCCACGTCCTATCTTTATCCCCTTCCCACTTGATCTACTCTGTCTGCTCTGATGCCCCTTGAACCACGTGTGCTGGGACAACTTAATACCCTCGCAGAAAACTAATGAAGCAGAAAGAAGAGAAAGGCCAGCTCAGCCCCCTGGATGAGCATGTGGAACCGGCACAGTGCAAGGTCTGGGAGCACGAAAGCAGCACTCCCACGCTCCTCCAGCAGACTAACCAGTGGCCACCTCGGGTTACCATTCTGCTCAAGTTCAGGACCCGCAGATGCGGGAGGAGCCAGGCGTAATGCAGATGTTGAAGCCTAGCTGTAAATCTGCAGGGAAGACAATGAACAAGAAACATAAGCATAAATAATTTTAAATGTTTCTGCTTTCCAGAGTCACGAGATTGAAAATCTATGTTACAGACCAAGAAAATGGGCGCAAGAGAGACTTTCTTGCTGTAAATTGGAAAAACTCCTGGTCTTTGTGTGTCTACATAGCAAAAAAAAAAAAGGTATGATGGTAGAAAGAGCTTACATGATCTACGCAGTGGGGGTAAGAGTAGCCAGGGTGGCTGCAGCATATGCTAGCAGAGTAAAAGCACCCCAAAGATGACACACAACAGGGTAAACCAACTGTTTCCATGCCTTTCTCTCTGCTCTCACCCATGCTAGCCAGACTAAGCTAGCAGAAGCACGTCAGCACATGCTTTGGCCTCTCTTTCTCCCTGTAAATCTACCAAAAAAAGGATTAGTGCTGCAGCAACAAGAAGCAACCTAGCAGGAAAATGGAAAACACACATGAATGGAGAACCCTCGGCATGTGCTACAACAGAAGATCACGCTTGACAACACCGCCTGTTTAGAAAGATAGCAACAGAAAACATTGATTTTAATAATACTACGCTTAATAAAGGATAGTATACAGCCTTCAATCCTGCATAGGATAGGGAGGGACGGGACGCGTGTCCACACTGTAAAATATTAGATTGCATGCCTTAAGGGATGAAAACTTTGGGTGACAGCTACCTAAGTACACACAACCATTTTCTTCTAAACGAGGCGACTGGCATAATTGACTTGCACTTTAAGAATACATGTAGGAACAAAGCTGTTCTAAATAACCTTAAAATAAAAGTCATACAGCCTGTGGGCAGGGGCAGATCACCAATGTCCAGAGAAAGAACATGTCACGCATACAGGGAACTTAAAAAAGTTCACACACCGTAATAATAGAATTTGGAGACGCATAAAACTTGCAGTGAGGTAAAAAAAGGTCACTGAATGGGCCAGTCTCAGGACTCTGAGTCACAGATCTGTTACAATGGTGCCTGTCTAAGAGAACCAGTGAATTTCTCTCTTGAAAACTTAATAGTGTTCCAGCAAAATATTTTTACAATAAAAGCCCCACCTCTTGTATTAAAGAGACTCTGTGATGCTACTCATGACTTATTAGTAAATGCTGAAAAGGGAAATAAACCCCATAACACAAAAACATAAACCAATAAAATGCCTATGTACTTCCTCTTATAAAGCAAAATGTCCAACTATGAATTAAAAATGGTGACTGCACACAAAAATGGTTTCATCAATATATTATCCAGTAGCCACATAGTCATCAGCATAAATTGTAAGGCTTTTTTTTAATATTTTTTTTATTTAAACAGTGAGACTGTAAAAACTGCAAGAAATAGGTACAACAACCTCAATTTAACTTGCTGCAACAGTATTTTACCTACCTGTCACCTTAATTTTCAGATAGAATTTTAGAGGGGTGCTGCTGTTTGCATAATCCATTCAAATACTCAATAACAAAAGCAGTGTAAAAAAACTATTTAAGAATTAATTATTATTTTAACTACAATGCTCTGTCAAGGGTGTAGCTCCACTGTGATATAATAATATCACTTCAGTGATATAATTCTCTGTATACATTGTGTGCCCTAGATTTAAGTTCTCATTATCCATATATCCATAACAGAATTGTGTAAAGAAAAAATAAAGGACATTTGGGTTAAATCTAATTAAAATAAATCCATCTGAACCCTGAGATAAGTAGAAAGTTTGCAAAGGGACTGGAAAGTAAATGCACAAATCCTCCAGAGCAAAGATGAACATGTTTGTTTTGTTACAGTCAACTAATGAAAGCAAACTTCCCCAACTACCTAACACTTAACTGCCTATATATAAGCACTGGAATTTGCTGTTCCCACATCTGTTGCTATTTAGCAAGTACCAACAGAGGGGAGACCACCTGTGAAACTGAACAAAAAGTGGAATCAACAGCACCTTAAATTGTCAGGTGGAAAGGTAAGCAGCAAAATTACCCAATCTTATCTTCAAACAACCCTCTTCCTCGAACAGCTCCACTAACAGAGGATGTGGGGAACAACATTAATTTTACAAACACGTAAGTTACTGCAATAATCCATACTGAAATGTCTCTGTGAGGTCATGTTCATACGGGAGGATCAGTACTGGAAAGGATAAAAGACAAAATCATAACACAGTCAAACAGCTAACATCTATCACGGAAAATATACAGTGAGGAAGGAAATAATACGTATTTTTGGTGTTTCAAATAACAGATCAATTAGGTATTTAATAGAACCACTTGTACCTGCAAACCCTGAAGCTGGTTTATAGTCCACACTGGGAAATTAAGCCAGCAATAAAGAACGGACTCT